AATTTTTTTATTGGATTTTTTAATCTTATTTTTTGTTAACATCTAATGAAAATAATTTGTCTAACATACAATATTGCACGGGGACACACCTAGACCTAATATTATATTATTATGTAAGAAACAAATTGTTATCTTGGGTATAAAGATTATTTACTTACTGTACTAGTTTATTTTCGTTTGTACTTGTCACAAGCAATTTATACTTCGAATGAAGTATATTGTGATTAATATTTGATGTCGACGGAGATAAAATATTAAAACCCATTTCTACATCATCGGTATTTATTCTAAATAACGAAAAAAAATTGTATCAGTAGCCCAAAACGTGTAAATGTACAAAAAAAATAAAATTTATTACGAACAATTCAATACTACTTTGTTCTACATACTCGTTATTTTGACCTTCAATTGGAATAGTCAAACTATCGGTATTATCATACGAAATAATTTAAACAAAAATAAAAAAATGAAATTCATAAGTAAACCAACATTTAAGTAAGTATATTCACTTACCGTTTTTTGTATGCCATGAGTTTGCCAATTTAAAAGTGATGAAACATTACCTCTATTTTTTTTTTCACTTTGTATAGTTTTTGTTTTTTATTTCCCATTTTACCAAATTATTATAAATAAAACAAATCACTTTTTATAAAAACAAAATCTAAGTTTTAATCACTTAAGTGCTTAAAAATCTTGCTATTTTACACTAGAGAAAAAAATACATAATATACCAAGTCCAAGTGTAGTAATGACGTGAGGCGAAGCTCAAAAGAACAATATTTCATATTTCCATGTTAGGTATATTATTAAATTATATTTCATTCATACCAAATTATCAATATACGCAAGATATTAAATATCTTATTATACATTTTATAATTGTACCGTAGTAATACCTAGAATAGTATAATTACGATTTGTAATCTATCTATAGCAGATCGTGGCATGCGATATGGGTGAAGGAACGGTAGTGGCGGAGGAACTGTTCCGCACGCGGCACGTGCAGTACAAGTCACTGTCGCATTGTCGCGCGCATGAACGATCCAGAACGTGTGTTTTTTTTTACTAAAACTATGTATTTTTATTCCATCATACTGATCGCTGTAGTTATGCGATAATACTTTTAAAAACTGATTTGAATTCGTTATAATGTCTACTTGAGATCGGTCAGTTCACATTTTAAGATTTATGATTTATATTCCGAATAATCAACATTTAAAAATTCCGAAATTTAAAAATATTCAAACTACATTTTTGGTTGTTAGGGGGGGTGAAATTGGGAAAAATAGACTGACCGATCTCAAGTAGACATAATAACAAATTCAAATCAGTTTTAAAAAGTATTATCGCATTACTACATCGATCAGTATGATGGAATAAAAATTGGATGTTTTGGCTAAGATAACTGTCCTCCACCGATCCCCTTAAATGAAAAATATTTCTTTTGTAAATTATAAAATATTACATTTGAAATAAAACATATGGTATTAAAATATAATATATGTATATTGAACCGATTAAAAATGAGACATGCAAAGACCTGTCCAGCGGCATGGCCGCATGGGTGCAAACCAAAATGCATGCTCGTATTTTTATACTAAAAATAACAAATACAAAATAATATGATAAAATAAAGGAAAACACATACCATGGGATTTATATTAATTATATATAATATTATGTTGTTTGTGTACGAAAGCATTTGAATATTACTTTTATTTTTTATAAAAATCGTGCAGAACTCATGAGTCCGTGGTAATCACGCTGGAATCAATTAATCAATATTTAAATAATTATACGCATCATTACCAAAATAAATTTCCATATAGGTTGACCATTATTCTAGTAAATTACTATTATAGTGTTAATAGGTTGTTAAATATTGCCCGAATTCCAAGACTTATTGGACAGTAGGTTTTAGTTGCTTACTATACAATCTAAATATTAACAACTGCGCTGAAGATGATTTATTGTAGCCACGTTCCGACGTTATAATATAATTGATTCTTCAGTAAGTTATAAATGTATAATAAATAATAATATAATAACTTCGTCAACAAATCTTAGGAGTGCATGTACCTATATAATGTGAAACTCAATTTTTACTCGATTTAAGAATCTTTTTCACTCAATATTTAGTAGTAAATTAGCAATAGGTATAGACTATAGTTAATAATTAGTTTGTACGTAATTTATTATTTACTATCAATTATATTTCAATATGAATAGATATTGTAAAATATATATTTAATTTTAATATAAAATAGTATATAGGTACATAGTTTATGTGGAATTAATTAAAAACATTTAAAAATTCAATATGCAATTATTTTCAGAAAGTGATTATTTATTAGTATAGTATTATATAGTATAGCCATCCTAAGAACGCTACTCGTTCGCGCATCCAAATGACCGAGCTCCGCAGTTTCGTACCCAATTTTCTCCCACTCTACCATCTAGTCGCCGCCGTAAATTCCCCCACTCACTACGTGCGACAGGCAGCTAATATCACAGCCGCCGCCACCGGGCGGCAGCCGGTGGTTTGTATACACCGGCTCAAATAATACACACGAAAAAATAATACCTGGCGACCGGGGCATTTATTATGTATTCAACAACAATGCAAATAATATGTATGTAATATCAAATTTTTTATTTATGCATTTGTTTATGTATATCGACAAAAATGAATAATTTTACATAACATAATACACTTTATAATAATCATTAAGTAAAAAAAAAAATAAAAATAAAAAACAAATTTAATTAATATCAAAAAAAAAAAAAAAATAGTTAAAATATAAATAAATTAATCAGAATCACAATCTTGTATCACCTGTTCCTATCGTTAGAACATGACGATCTTCTTCGGGTTGTTCGTCCATCACTGAATCGGTTGCGTCTTCCAAGTCCCAAAACTTGTCTTCCACCTTTTTTACATGTTCGATAAAATTTTTCCACATTTCCGGAGTTACGTGTTCCACGCCTTTCTTTAATAACTCGAGCACGTCTTTTAATTTGAAAGTGTTGTTATGCGTTCGGACATAAATTTTTACAGACGCCCACGCGAGCTCGATCGGATTTAGCTCGCAGTGGTATGGCGGTAATCGCAATATGATTTTTTTATTTTCTTTTGCGTACTCATCAATCACGTATTGGTCGTACTGATTTTTTATTTCGTTGACTTTTTCCATTAAATCGTTTTTTACAGTAGGATGTTCAACGATCACGCCTTTGCTTTCGAGCCAATCAATAATTGCTTGTTTTCTCCACGACTTTACTGGTATCCTATGTTTCTTCATGGAGTGGTATGAGGCATTATCCATTACAATTATGGCGTTTTCTTTGAGTAATGACAGAGTTTTAACAAACCATTCATAAAACGTATCGCCATTCATCTCATCGTGGTAGTCCATAGAGTTGGTTTTGGATTCAAAACACAAAAGGCCCCCCGGCACAAAACCGTCTGACGAACCGATGTGTAATACAATGAGACGCTTACCTTTGCCGGAGGGTTCCTTTTGTCCTGTGGTGAGGCCTTTGAGGAATGCATCTCTTTGTGATGTGACGGTGGTATCAACCCATGCTCTGAGTACTTTTCGTATAAGCCTTATGGAGTTGGCAGGGGAATACAATATGAAGGGTTGGGGCCAGTTAGATTAATAGGGGCTCAATACAGTCTTGTAATGTTTTTCTCATTAAAAGAATATAACACGAAATATGAACTATTGGAGGAAAAAATAAAAAATATAACAAATGTATGTACCGACCAGAAACACCAAGATCTGTGTGGGAAATATCAAATAGTAATTACAGATTTATATAATGAAATAACTAAACAGAAAAAACGTACATATATGTCACTAGGAAGTACTATAGAGGATGATAAACAAAGAAAGAAAAGAGGATTAATAAACATAATAGGTAACACCATGCATACATTATTTGGCGTATGTGATGACAAATGCACTAAGAAAACACGAGAAGCTATAAAAAAAAATGAAAGAATCAGGAACTAACATATTACACATAATGGAAACCCAAACCACTGTAGTAAAATCAACAATAAGAAGTATTGGTAACACAATAAATCAAACCGAACAATTATACAATAATATTACGGAAAAGGAACAACAACTATACGAAAAAATGTCAAAAATACAAAACAAAACAAATGATATATTAGATTTACTAATGAAATACATAATTTATACACAATAATTATAAATCAATATTCCTACGAAACAGAAACATTGGAACAAATAGTAACCGCCGCTAGAGAAGGTATGATACACCCAAGTCTTATGACACCGCAAGAACTAGCATCAACATTAAAAACAATAGAACAAAATATAAAGAAAATATACAGTATTCCGATGGGAACTAAATTAATTTCAAAAAATTACAAAAATAAGAATCTACTATTCGAACGACAGATTAGTATTTGATATAGTAATACCACTGATTATTGACACTGAACTTACATTATACAGGTTAACACCAGTGCCAATGCGTCATAACCAAGATAATTCTAGTGGATGGTACCTAGCGGACATTACCTACAATAATATTGCTGTAACCAAAGGTTTACTACATACACAGATCAACAATTAAACGAATGTAAAGAAACATCAATATACAAAATATGTAATACACCACAACCTATACAGGACAACAATGAACGCCAACCATGCGAAGTGCAAAACTTCATGAATTCTGACACATATTCTAATCCTGAGTTATGTACAGTAAAGAAAATTAATTTAAAGGGAAGCATATACCAAAAATTAAAAAGAAAGAATACATGGATTCATGCAGGAAAATAGACTTTAACAATAAGTTGAGCTAACCTAATAGATCCATTCATAATAGAAACAAATGAAGCAGGAGAAATAACTATAAACGACATCAGTTGCCAAGTATTTGCACGGGACGCAATATTAACTGCCACGGAAGAAATCCAAAATCCAAAATATAAGGACTTCACACCTGTAACTAACATGAATAATATTTTAGAAAAAATACCCGAACATATACACAAATTCGAAACAGATGAAAAATGGGAAAAGGGACCAGCTATGCAATTCACAGATTTACACGATGCATCCAAATCTTTAGACGAAGTACAACAAATGATTAACCAAGAACTTTTAAGAGAACAAAATCAAAAACATCAATTTGTACACAGTAATTTGCTATATGTAACAATATTACTGGCATTAATATCTATTATACTAATAATAGCAATTTACATAATGATAAAATGCAAGTATATCAGGACCACAGAAGTCATGGAATTTCCCGGCAGAATAGTTAGATATAGGACACCCAATAGAAATGACTACGTACGAAATTATGAAGAGACACCCTTTACTCCACCACCTCCACCAAGATAAATTAATTAATTAATTAAAAAAATAATAATAATAAATAAAAAATAATAATATACAATAATAATAATTAAACTAGAGATAAACGAATAATTTAATAAATAAATAAGAAGCTAGGTATACGTAAACTAATAAAGCGATACTATATATATAATTATGTTTCAGGAAACAATCAATAGGAATTTAAAAATAGATATAATAATATATATAACATGAGCGAACCCACACCAATGCCTGAGCCTAATGTTTTTTATAAGGAACTAAGGGATAGGTTACTAAATGATACACATGATCAATTGGTACTAAGGAACACAATATATGTACGTTGTTTTAGACAACACGTAATAGACGCAAATAATAATATGCAAGTACCTTTTAACGAAACTGAACTTGAAACCGTTATGGGTCCGTTAACAGCCTTCTTTTGCACTAGATGTAACCGCGAACCAGCCTATAATTCAATGTGTTTAAAAATCGCAGAAATATTAGATCAATATTATATTCAACACCAAATTTACAGTGAAGAACATATTCGATAAATAAATTAAACAAAACAAAAAATAAAATAAAAAAATAATAATAAGATATAATACGTGCATAAAGAAATAATACGTAAAATAATATTCTATAATTTAAATAAAATAATATTACGTGCATAAAAAATATAATAATATATACATATACGTAAATAATATTCTAAATAATACTTATATAACAATAACTTTTAACTATTTCAGAAATTAAGAAGAAAACAAAAAATATATATAAAAACAAACGTAAAATTTAAAGTACAAAATGGGTGAGAACATACCACCTGTAGCACGAACCGTTCGAATGCAACTACAAACATTTGAATTTCTCAGAGAATTAAAAAACGAATTAATTGAATCAACCAATCATACACAAATAACGCGAGGGGAAGTAGTCAGATTACATTGCTTCCCGGAACATATAAGAAGGGAAAATAATAATATGACCATACCTTTCAGGCCGAATGTCTTAGCAAGGGTCATGATCCATGTTAATGACTTTGTACGCACAGTTATCATAAGACCAAATCATAGTCGACCCATGTGTGTAGAGTTGGGTTTACTAATAGAACAACTAATCAGACGACGCGTCATCGTCGAAACGATTTTCGAAGAATAACTTCAGGAATATATCATATACATAGCAATAAATACTAAAAACCAATTAATTTAAAAAAAAAATAATTATTTTATTTTAGCTCACAGGTACGCTTTTTTATAATGGATTTCGAGTTCTTTACCGTCAGTAAGAACGAAACATTACTGGTATCCGGCGCGATATCGAATAGTTTAGAAAAATACCAACCCAAGAAATTGGAGGGGAGTCCTCTTATACTTACAAAGGATGATAAGTTAAGAAGATTCCGCCGATGCGACCTAAAGAAAATAGTGCAGAATATCAAACGAGTATTCCGAGGGAAAAAGGCAAGAGTGATTGAACCATTGCTGGAACAGTTATACAATAGTGTAAGTCGCCAGGGGGAATCAACCTTGTCTACGGTATACTTGCAAAGATATTTGCATATAAACGATAGGGAGCCGCTAATAGTATTTTGGAACGGAACATCAGATATCACGATAATTAAGCGTTTAAGATTAACAGGAATTTTAGCATATTTAAACATATCGGCAATTAGCGTTAGGAATAATGACGAATTTATATTAGAATTATCAAACCTAGAGACTAAGGAAGTTTTATATTCAGGTTATTTAGGTAAATTAAATAAAAATGGTAGAATGTTAGGACTATCAGAAGCTCATGAACTAGCATGCGATATTAATCATAATATTACACATTGTCACGATCCAGTTGCCGACGTAATTTTAACGAAATGCCTATTCAATTACATAGTAACAAAGATAAAGCCCATTAGATTATATAAATTAGCAAAAAAATATAAAAGGAATTTTAAGGCAAAATACATAATAATTATTAGTTAATAAATAAATATAACACAAAATAAATTAAATAATGAAAACAAATAAATAAATTAACATTTATTATATATTTTAGATTCATTGAGGAGCTAAAAACAATTTTAAAAACAGAAGTACATATTTATAAAGTTAAAGAAAATAAATTGCAATCCGTATGCTTTAATTGGCATTTATTAAAGGCAAACAAGAAAATAAATAAACATTACGATCATAGAACTTTAAATAAAATAACTAGAAGCCTTGAACTTTTCATAGATGATCATTGTAATGGAGAATGCAAACAACTAGTAAAAATAATAGAAAACACTAGAGATCCAACTTACATGATGAATTACCTTAAATAGAACCATAGTTGCATATGTCTATGGCAAATCTAACGATTATTCACATAGATTAGTATATAGGTGGAAGATGATAATTATTATTATATAAAAGGGGAAAATACTTAAATTTTATACTTACGTAACGCTTATAATGTTATAATTTCAGGTACATATATTATTTTATTAAAGATTATTAATCATTCTTATTAACACTATTTATTTAATTAAATCATGTATTAATTTTATTTTACTAACCACAATATACAAATTGTAATATGAATAATAAAAAACAATAATAATAATAATGATGACATTAAAAATTGTAAAATGTTCACATTATTGTAATCAAATGTAATACTGTAATCAAATTGTTAACTGTATACAAAATTTAATTATCAATGTAAACAAAGTAATTCAACCATTGTAAACTATTAATTAACGATGTTAAAGATTCTTAACCCTTAAAGGTTAACAATTTTTTTTTTGGTAGGGAGGTGTAATGGGATTACGTAATATCATGTATTTGCTCATAAAAACAACCAGGAATGCGACCACACCCAAAGGTGTTTTCGACTAAGAATACCACTCTTAGTCGTGAGGTCCATATCAAGGACGACTGTACACGCGCCGCTCACTTCAAAGGACGCCGCCACCATATATAGAGGGGACAGCGAGACAGCCTGAGTAAATGTATCCAGAGACGAGAACAACACACGACTCGCTTAGACGCCCAGCCATCACACACAACTTACACGGAGATTATCAATTTTGGAACGAGCTACAATTCGCTACAATCAACACAACTGTTCTGCTTATTTTGTCTGGTTTAATATAATACATTGATTACTATACTAAATTGACTATTATTATTTATCAAAGTACATCAGCTTTTGGATCCCTGAAGGGCCGCATGTAACACTATTATTAATTTATAAACTAATAATACGTAACTACCGTCACCAAAATTAATAATACGTAAAAATTATTACTTATAAAATAACTATCATGCATAAATAATAAAAAGAAATTACGTAAACGCGCGTCGTACGTTGAAATGGATACTCATCTCAATGAGTACCTATCTAATAACACGTAAAACGTTCGACCGCCTATGCTACGCGTGTTAAATTTCGATACGGTGTTCCTCACCCGTTTCCCACGCAAAGTTTCGCGATGTTTTATGCGTACGCGCTCGTACTACGCTCGAATATTATAAAATAAAAACAATCCCCGGTTAGCTACTCCGTAAATCCCTTTAATAATATTCGACTTCCTATCCCTTATTTTTCTTTTTACTTATTTTTCTTTTTACTTATTTTTCTCTAAATGCTTTAATTTTTTAATTTAATTTACGCGCTTTACCATTTAATTTTCTAAACACTAACAATTAATTTTTTTTTTTTTAATAATTATTCTATCAACTTATTCTTAGTAATGTTATACTAATTATTATCCTAGGGCCCCTATAATTAATTCTTTTTTTTTCCAAAACTTTTCAAAATTTGACTTCAATTACTTTAACAAGGTCATCTACTGCCTTTAAATTCAAAATCTATTTTCTTCAATATATATCAATTGACTTTTTTCAACAATTATATTCTATATTTCAATTCAAAATTTCAATATTTCACTTTAATCAATTATTCCCATATATAATTCAAAAATGCTACGGCCGTGCATCAATTTCCTAGATCAGCCTATCGCCGTCTACTTTAATTTATTAGATCAGTCCCCGCTGTCTATTACAAAATACCATAAAATTCTTAGATCAGTCCCCGCTGTCTATTTATAAAATACCATAAAATATTTAGGTCAGTCCCTGTTGCCTATCACAAAGAAATCTTAGATCGGTCCTTGCCGTCTATTTACCATAAAAATCCTAGATCAGTCTACAGCTGTCTATCATAAAATACGTATATAGTTCTTCCCAAGCTTGTTTCCTATTTTTTTTTCTTTATTTATTTTTATTCGAATATTTTCCTATTATTTTACACCACCACCAAGTATAAAATAAACGCTGATTTATACGAATCAACGTGAGACGTGCACTTCAAGCTATACAATTTTAATTTAATTATCTATCTTCACTTAATTAATATACTCACAACAACGCTGTTGCCACTGCTGTGTTCATTTTCCTTGATTGTCTGCTGGCCCGTCTTGAATTGTTCGTTGATTCCGGAGTCGCCTTGGTTGATCAGACCTTAACTGTTAGATCCGTGGAGCTGCTGACGTGGTGTAGCCGCTGCGTCGGGACTGGATCTCCGAAGTTGAATGTAGCCGCCTTGACTGCTGGACTCGCCTTTTGAAGTTGAAATCCGCTGCCTTGACTGCTCGACTCGCCTTTGGAAATTTAAATCCGCCGCTTTGACTGCTCGCCTCGTCTTTGACTCCTTGAACCTCCTTTGTTCGACTGCGCCAGTGTAATAATCTTGGTGCTTAGGACCTACTCCATCGTAGTACTAATAGTAGATAAGTGGCTACCAAGTTATTATAGATGCAGGTCGCAGACACTTTATTTGATGTTGTAGTCGTGGATGATGAATAAATAAAAGACAGATGTTATTTATTGTGAATTTTATTTAAACGTTCGATAATTTTCTAAGTCCAAAATAATGTTGTACAAAGTGGCGTGAAGGTGCTTGCACTAATGGATGGTAGTACACGTCTGAAAACAGGCCGATTCGGGCTCCCTTTTATATGAAGTTCCCCGTAC